TTTGAACTATTAAAATGAAACGAAATAGGATCTGTGTTTTAATCAAATTGGTGTAGTTAGACCATTTTCAACTACACGACAGTAGAAACCCAATGTTACTTGATGATTCTCAACGAATTTAAACAATTAGCCAACAATGGTTTAAAACTAAACATTAAATACAGAAACTTCTGCTAAAACAATACAACTACACGACACTCAATGTTTGATCATTACGTACACTCGTCTCTCCAACCGTCAGGACTATCAAATGCATCCTGGGATTGATATGATTGTAGCTTGAGCAGAATTTAGCGCTTGTTGGTGATGTTGTTGAATGTGATTTGTAGACTGCCATTTTGTTTACGAGATATCTGAGGTGTCATTAGGTCCAATATAAATAAATATACAAGGTGAATTCAATATACCGTATTCAATCAAACAAGCAACTGTTCACTTCTGATCATCATAGGAATAACATCATTCGTATACGTGGAACCACATCAGAGGTTAAATTGGTTTGTGACAAAATATGATTTCAAAGGGACGTACCTCTAGATGACACAAAAAAATGAAGTAATATTTGGTAGACTTTTGTTCAACTCAACTGAAACTACTTGATTTTAAAACTGACCTATTTGGATAATTCCCCTGCAGTGGAAGGAAACCGGAGAACCCGGAGTAAACCCACGAGGTTAGGCAGATGATCCAAGTTCTTATAACATGTGCGCTTACTAGATCGAATACGGTATTACCTTAATTCCTGAGATGTCAAATTTTGTGATGTAATAAATTAAATTATGTAATAATTTACAATTAGAATTTGTTAATGCTAAATAAATAATGTTGGAATTTGCCAAGTATTTGTACTTATCTAGAGAATAATTAATATCTAACATGCTATCCAAGGATATAACTGTAGCAATCAATGTATTTAGTTGACCAAATATAGTCTCTGTGCGCAATTTGCTTTTCTCGGAAAATATTAAATTTGACATGACTCAAATTTTATCCTTAAATAAATATCTTTCATAGTTTCCAAGAAAAAGGACATAGTATAGTCTAGTTCTGAATTAGAAATTTTGACACATCAGTGAACGAAATGAACGCCTGTCTCATTTGCTATTCACGGAAAATACCAAATTTGACACATGAGTGAATGAAAAGAACGCCCGTCTCATTTGCTTTTCACGGAAAATACCAAATTTGACATGACTCAAATTTTATCCTTAAATAAATATCTTTCGTAGTTTCCAAGAAAAAGGCCATAGTGTAATCTAGTTCTGAATTAGAAATTTTGACACATCAGTGAACGAAATGAACATTTCATTTGTTTTTCTTGGAAAATACAAAAATTTTACAGGACTCAAATTTTATCCTTCAATAAATATCTTTCGTAGTTTCCAAGAAAAAGGCCTTAGTATAGTCTAGTTTTGAATTAGAAATTTTAACACATAGGTGAATAAAATGAATGTAAAAATTTAAACATTTTCTATAAAATGAATTGTTGACATACAAACAACTAATAGTTCTCTAACAAAACAAACAAACTTCACTTTTAACATCAAAAAACACAACTTTCTACAACTTTAAATCTAAAACTTGGATTTATAGATTCATCAATTTTCATAAAAACTAAAACCTGATTTGTCCATTTGTCAATTATCAACTTTTTAGTCAATTGACCGTTGTAGAATTTAGCCGACAACCCTACGTATACAGACATTACTATGTGTCGTGTATTACCTACTATATAACAGTAGTTATTGTCATGAGAGGCAGGCTAGCTTGTGGTGAGACACAACAATCACACAGGATAGAGTGTGGTGGGACACACCAATCACGCAGGCTAGAGTGTGGTGAGACATGCCAATCACGCAGGCTAGAGTGTGGTGAGACATGCCAATCACGCAGGCTAGAGTGTGGTGGGACACACCAATCACGCAGGCTAGAGTGTGGTGAGACATGCCAATCACGCAGGCTAGAGTGTGGTGGGACACACCAATCACGCAGGCTAGCATGTGGTGAGACATGCCAATCACACAGGTTAGCATGTTGTGAGACACAATCATGCAGACTAGCGTGCGGTGAGATATGACAATCACACAGGCTAGCATTCAGTGACACACAACAATCACGCAGGTTAGCATGTGGTGAGAACTGACAATCACGCAGGCTCAGTGATTTCACTTCAAAATATTTTGATTACCTCTCTTAGAACAAGTCAATAGTTACCATTATTACATAATAAATCTACATTACGATTCTGTATGGTTACTATGGCTACTGACATCAGGATTACACAATAAATCTACATAATGATTCTGTATGGTTACTATGGATACTGACATCAGGATTACGCAATAAATCTACATAATGATTCTGTATGGTTACTATGGCTACTGACATCAGGATTACACAATAAATCTACATAATGATTCTGTATGGTTACCATGGATACCGACATCAGGATTACACAATAAATCTACATAATGATTCTGTATGGTTACCATGGATACCGACATCAGGATTACAAAATAAATCTACAGTACTACATTTATATTTAGTGACCGTCTGATTATAAAACATATCGCGATCTCCCTTTGTTTATTTACACTTTTAATGTCCGTCCTCCACAACATACAGATCTGACCAATTTGTGAGGGAGGTCACATCAGGGGTCACAATAAGTGAACCTTAAATGCATACTAAACTTACGCTGTCGGTATAAAGTTAGCTCTGCTTTAGAACAGACACTAAGCTAGTTGACTATCATTTCAAGTCCCGGTCTTAGCATAATCAAAAGATTTTTAATTTCTACAAATTGAGCCATACATAGCCTCTTGCGTTATGGGTTTAGCTTACTTTGTTTATGTGTGAGAGAGAGAGAGAGAGAGGGGGGGATAGAGAGAGAGAGAAACGGGGTTTAACATCCACTCGACACAAACTAGGTCATTTCGGGACTAACATATGGTTTAATTTTATTTCAATAATTTGCTTGTGCGTAGAGGTCGTTAGCATTGGGAGGAAACCGGAGGACTCAGAGAAAACTCAAAATGTTGGACAGGCAACCCTACTCCTTGTCATGTACAACCAGGGAATCAAAACTATGCCAGTTGACTCAATAACAGACTGTATGAGACTGTATGATACAATGCGCACACACTAACCATTGTTTATATGTGAAGTGGCCCTCCTACACTTTGTAATAAGATGTTAGAATTAATGATCATAATGAATGGATAAAAAACAGTTTTACTGCTGAGGGATGATCATGATCACATGACAACACAATGATTTAAAACGACTAATATATATAATACGAACGTATAAAATATAATATAAACAAATAGCGTAATGACCTTATTTAGACAACTACCAAATATGGTGATAAAATGTGCATGCTTATTTTGTTATTTTTGTATAATTTACGATGTACACCCATCCCGTCTCACGAACTAGATAAACTATTCTATACTCGAATTCAACATTTACTTATATTCTAATTTTAATTATTTATTGCATCGTTCTAGATAAGACGTCAGTGTTTCACTGTAACCGTGGTAACAGAGACAATTGATCGTAACAATGTCTGACTATAAATACACGTTTTAATTCCAATGAGTAAATTCAGGGCTTCCACTTCAATATTTTGCCAGTCTGATAATTTTTTGAAGTTTTGTTTTCCTCCAATTAGTGAGATATTTTTTCCAAGAAAATGGATTTTTTTTTTATCATTAGCCAAACTTTTCTACATATATATATATATGAAGTCTAAAATTGAACTGTATTCAGTATGTTTTAAGGTTTAATTGTTTAAAATGTAAATTGACTGAAAGGTTATTTCTTCAGCTGGTCATTTTTCACTGTCGGCCAGTCATGACTGGTCAATTTAAGTGAAATGAAAACCTTGGCTTCAACCCATATTCTAGTACAGTGATTCTCAACCAGGAGAGAGGGCCTGGCAAGGTACGTCTAGTACAGTGATTCTCAACCAGTGTGCTAGAGATCTTCCTGAGTGTGCAGCAAAATTTTGAATGGCACACTAAGAAAATTTCTCACTAAAGAAGCCAGCTATACGACTGATGAAATTCAAAACACTGCAATAAAGTAAGTTCATAGCTGTGTTATTCTTTATTTAGTTTTAATCATTCTATATGGCTATGACTAGTCTCTGTCTACGGTTGTATGCCGTCCATGACTTGCCATGTTTTCATTTTGTAAAATTCAAATATTTTTTATATATTTAGCCAGGTGTGCCGCTATTTTTTCATGTATTCCAAGGTGTGCTGTTGGCAAAAAATGTTGAGAACCACTGTTCTAGTATATAAGAAAATATAGACCAGAGATGTCAACGTAAAACAATGTACGTTCAGTCAAGTTGTAGAGTAAAATATTACAATCTCATTTAAATGAAGATCTATATTTCGTTTTGTTTTTTATACTTTCGATGGCCTACACTACATGAAGATCTGACATGTTATAGTGGGAGTTCACGTCAGGGGTCAAATGAGCGGCTTTTGACCCTATGACGTCAGACATTGATTAATCAATCAACGTTGGCGTTTGTAGTGATTTACCCACAGTTCCGTGCATAAAAAGGCCACACAGTCGCCGTAACAGACCAATTCATTGGCTAATTCCTCACATCAAGTAGAACGCCTGTTATATAACAACTCTTCCAGATCCTAATGTAGTAAAGACAGATAAAACAAAATTTTAAACTATAAAAACGAAACAAAATAAGATCTGTGTTTTATAGTTAGATTGAAAATATTCGTTCTTTCTGTAAATTTTACACATGCCTCGTTAAATAGATCCCTGTGTTTCCCATTTACACAAACATTGAGGTTTGTGGAACAGAAATCTTTAAGTGGCATTTAGCGATCGGGAACACATGAACCGAACACAGTTTTTATGGGATACATACACTAATTTTATTCTAAAAGCACGACGTTTCGACAAGTATCCTCTTATGCTTGATAACGATAAGAAGAAACTTGTCGAAACGTCGTGCTTTTAGTATACAACTAGTGATTGTATCCCATAAAAACTGTGTTCTGTTTCGTGGAACAGATCTCAGAGCTTCACTCTACACCCAACTAGAAGCATATCTTGATTACTTAGATTAGCATTTTAAATTTAATTTAAGAAATTTAAATTTTACGAACACTCAAAATATTTAGCGTACATTATGGGAAATTTCTGTTGATGGATTATTCCTAAATGAGAACATAAATAATTAACATTTTGTCTCCGAACAGAAACAACACACAAAAAAAAAAAATTTGAGTTAAATCATGCTGAAGTTGAGAATAAGTTTTCCAGTCATGTGAGACGATGTGTTTGTTGAAGGGAGCTGATTTGTTGTTCATTTTCGTCGATGTTTACGAAAGCGGTGATTGCGATATGAGGTTGGATGGATATTGGCAGCAGTTTCAGGTGGTAATTGGGTGATTGGAACTACTTTTTTACTCAATTCTTCAGCTTCACTTTCACTCACCCATACATCTGGTAATCTGTAAAATAGAAACAAATAAACGTCAGTAACGAAGAGAGAGTGAAATTGGGTTTAATGTCCAGTCGAGACAATCTAAGTCATTTCGTGACTAACATATGGTTCAATTTTGATCCAAGAATAGGGGTTCTTAACAATGGGAGGAAAACAGAGGACCCATAGAAAACCCATGAGGTTGGTTTCCCTTGTCAGTTTTGCAGGATGTAAGACCCTCGGGTTAAGAGAGAGAGAGAAATGGGGTTTAATGTCCACTCGATACACATTAAGTCATTTTGGGATTAACATATAATTCAATTTTGATTCAATAATTTGCTTGCTCATTGGGGTCTTTAGTAGTGGGAGGAAATGTGAGAACTCATAGAAAACCCACGAGGCTGAATGGAGGACCCTACTCCTTGTCACGCACAATCGGAGAATTGAAACCACACTACTTGACTCAATGACAGACCTTCTGATCTAAACTACACACATAGATTGTTAAGCCATCCACCACCTGAACTCAGAGAACAGCGCGTACATGCTAACCATTCGGCCATCCCCCACCTCGAAATATGACGAGGTTAGCTACCACATATACTCCTGAATAAACTTACATATTAAAAGGTTTCCATTGTAATAAAAGTTTGATTTTCCCTGATTCATCTTTTCTTCTGGCAACAACCTGTAATTATATATCAATATCATTTTATTTATTATTCTATGGTCCAGACAAGTTTGCCTAAGCAGTGACATTTTTTTTTTTATTGTATGGTCCAGACAATTTTGCCTAAGCAGTGACATTTTCGGACATTTTCTGAATGACTAAGACAGTCTTTATTGGTGAGGAATAGGTTATGGTAGGGGAGAAATAGAGAGAGAGAGAGAAATGGGGTTTAACGTCCACTCGACACAAACTAGGTCATTTCGGGACTAACATATGGTTTAGTTTTATTTCAATAATTCGCTTGCGCGTAGGGGTCTTTAGCAGTGGGAGGAAACCGGAGGACCCGGAGAAAACCCACGAGATTGGACAGGCGACCCTACTCCTTGTCACGTACAACCGGGGATTCGAAACCACGCCAGTTGACTCAATGACAGGCCGTATGATACAGCACGCATGTGCTAACCATTCGGCCATCCAACCCCCGAGGGGAGAAATAAATGAAATGAAATTTAAAGATACTTTCCCACATATATTTGGACTAAAAACATATTCAAACTAATTTATCAATAATTTGCTTCAAATCCCTCTCAAAACTTTGTATTCGCAGGGAAATACATGTACCCCAAGCTATAAATAAACTGTTGTTATGAGCCATGGTTGTCACCTATACTTCATTGAGGGAGGGTCCATTTTTTCATAATGTATTATTCATTACTTACTGTCCATTTACCATACATATTGGGGGAGCTGTGTTAAGTACCGTACTGTGGAATGTTAATGGATGGGTTGACAGACATGGAGTGAAGGTGGTGGGGTTTGGGGTGTGGGAGGGGAGCTGTTTTACGTACCGTACTGTGGAATGTTAATGAATGTGGTGTTCCTGATATATCTACTGTACAGTTATCTGTTACATCCTGTAACTGTTGATGTAACATGTCCATAATACCACTATCAAAAAAATCACCTGTACGAACTGAAAATATAAACAAACAATATTATAATCATTCTTTTTAATAACACAACCTCCCCACCAATACCTCAAAATACTAATACAGGTACCGCCTATTATAACCCCCCCCCCCCCTTACCAGGTCCCCTTGGTAAGATTCAACAAGAGCATCGCTAACGCAGCAATATACGTCCACATTCCTGTTTTGTTTGATATGGTCCAGTTTGCATTGAGGGTCTGTGAAATAAAACTGGGTTGTAGGACTGCTATCAGTTTAACACTTCGTTCACATTAACAGAACACAATTTTTATTTTAAAACAATCGATGTCTTTATTCTAAAAGCATGACGTTTCGAATAGGTATGCAAAGTTTCAAAAGGATCTGTTAAGAATTGCGGTCTGTAGGCAAAACACAGGACACACAAACGTTAGGCGTGGCTCTGTCCCAAGGGGTCGAGCATGCACCAAAAATAATAATAGAGGTCGGCCTTAGGATTAAGGAATAAGTATAAAAAGTAGCCTTAGGCTATAAGGAATAAGTATAAAAAAGTTTTCAAGATGATCGATTAAGAAATGCGGTCTGCAAGTGACACACAGACATAAAAAAAGAAAATGGGCGTAGCTCTGCCCCTGGGTGTTGGGTATTCACCACTAATAATAGGGATGTTCCTTAGGATAGAAGGAATATGTATGCTAGGTTTCAAGGTGATACGATAAGAAATGCGATCTGTAGATGACAAACAAATAAATAAATATAAGGGATGGGCGTGGCTCTGCCCCTGGCGGTCGGGCATGCACCAAAAACAATAGGGATCATCGTTAGGGTATAAGCAATTCATATGAAATTTTTTCAAGACGATTGATTAAGAATTGTGGCCTGTAGGTGACACACAGACATAAAAAGAAAAGAAAATGGGCGTGGCTCTGCCCCTGGGGGTAAAAAAACAATAGGGATGATCGTTAGGGTATAAGCAATTCATATGAAAAAATTTCAAGACGATTGATTAAGAATTGTGGCCTGTAGGCGACACACAGACATAAAAAAGAAAATGGGCGTGGCTTTGCCCCTGGGGGTTGGGCATGCACCCAAAACGATAGGGATGTTCCTTAGGGTACAAAGAATAAGTATGCAAAGTTTCAAGATGATACGTTAAGAAATGTGGCCTGTAGACGACAAACAAACAAATACAAAAAATGGGCGTGGCTCTGCCCCGGGGAGGCTTGCATGCACCAAAAACAATAGGGATCATCCTTAGGGTATAAGGAATAAGTATGTAAAGTTGATACGTTAAGAAATGCGGTCTGTAGATGACAAACAAATAAATAAATATAAGGAATGGGCGTGGTTCTGCCTCTGGGGGTCGGGCATGCACCAAAAACAATAGGGATCATACTTAGGGTATAAGCAATTCATATGAAAATTTTTCAAGACGATTGATTAAGAATTGTGGCCTATAGGCGACACACAGACATAAAAAGAAAAGAAAATGGACGTGGGTCTGCCCCTGGGGTCGGGCATGCACCCCAAACGATAGGGATGTTCCTTGGGGTACAAAGAATAAGTATACATAGTTTCAAGATGATACGTTAAGAAATGCGGTCTGTAGATGACAAACAAATAAATAAATATAAGGAATTGGCGTGGCTCTGCCCCTGGGGGTCGGGCATGCACCAAAAACAATAGGGATCTTCCTTGGGGTATAAGGAATAAGTATACCAAGTTTGAAGAAAATCCAGTAAGAATTGCGCCCTGTAGGCGACACAAAGACACACGAAAAGAAAATGGGCGTGGCTCTGCCCCTGGGGGTTGGGCATGCACCCCAAACGATAGGGATGTTCCTTAGGGTACAAAGAATGTGTATGCAAAGTTTCAAGATTATTAGTTAAGAAATGTGGCCTGTAGACGACAAACAAACAAATACTAGAAATGGGCGTGGCTCTGCCCCAGGGGGTCGGGCATGCACCAAAAACAATAGGGATCTTCCTTGGGGTATAAGGAATAAGTATACCAAGTTTGAAGAAAATCCATGAAGAATTGCGCCCTGTAGGCGAACCACAGACACACACACACACACACATACATACATACACACACACACACAGACAGGGGCGACGGCATAATACGTTCACATTATGAATGTGGACGTATAAAAATCATCCTTAGTAAATTTTGTGTACCTACAAGTTTGTCCAGTTATCATAGCCTAATTTTGGGACAAACCACCCCGAGGGAGAGAGAGAGTAGGTCATTTCGGGACTAACATATGGTTCAATTTTATTTCAATAATTCTCTTGTGCGTAGGGGTTTTTAGCAGTGGGAGAATTATGTCATTTCAGGACTAACATATGGTTCAATTTTATCTTAATAATTCTCTTGCGCGTAGGGGTCTTTAGTAGTGGGAGGACAAGGTCATTTCAGGACTAACATATGGTTCAATTTTATCTAAATAATTCTCTTGCGCGTAGGGGTCTTTAGCAGTTGGAGGAAACCAGAGCACCTGGAGAAAACCCACGAGGTTGGACAGGCGACCCTACTCCTTGTCATGTACAACTGGGGAATCGAAACCATGCCAGTTGACTCAATGAGAGACCTTATGATACAACATTAATAGTGGCTGATAAATTCTGATTTCTACAAATTAATGTCTATTTCTTGAAGGACGAGTGACCTGTGTGATACTGAAAGGACTGGTGTATTTTTTACGTTATAAGTCGGTTCCCAATATAAACTGTTGCCAAGTTACCAACAAATGATAATTGTTTTATAAATCTCACTTGGACGAGTCGTGGGTGGAAAGAAGAGAACCAAGGTACATGTACATGACAGGTGTGGGAGTGAAGCCATTAGGTGATAAGATATATAGATCACACCTGGACTACACGTGTAGGTGATTATGCTATACAGGCCTAGATATATCCATATTACACCTGGTCTACACACATTGTAATCCAGGTATTACAGGTATTTAATCTTGTGTATTTAGCACAAATTTCTTTCACATTCATTAAATATCAAATCCTTGTTTAAAAATTCTCAAATTGTTTCAAATCACCAAAAGCTTTAAACTGGACACAAGTACAAATTAGATGATTTTTGGTGATTTTAAATGATTTTTACAAATTTTTAAACAAAGATTTGATATTAAACGAATGTGAAAGAAATTAGTGCTAGATACACAAGATTAAATGATGCCTGGGATACAGTGACAGGTGATTACAGTACAGGCCTACAAATATTCCTACAACTTAACAGTAATTATCAAATTAAATTTGATGATAACTTTAGCTTCTAGAGTGCCTAAAAGCCATTACAGACAGACAGACAGGGTTGGGTGATGACAATGCATATCATACAGTGACTGTAACAGGTATCTTATCTTCAGACAGACAGGGTTGGGTGATGACAATATGAACACATATCTTACAGTGACTGTAACAGGTGTCTTATCGTCAGGATTATTTTTACATATATTTATCTATATAAGATTATTAATCCTACACATGCTACATATAAACTGGTATTAAGCTGATCTAAGCAGAATTTTATTCCTACGTAAAGGACAATATTGGTGTCAGTAATTATCACACATTCCAAATATAATTTTAACACAGAGATCATTGCTACCATAAATGCGTAGTGAAGGTTTCTACAAAAGGAAGTGACGAACACAAAAGGAAAACATGAGGTACCCTTCTATATGTAACTGACTGAAGTAACGAAAATGAAATGAAATGTGATTTAACGTTTAACCTCCTACTGTTCTGCTCCGACTGGGCTATTGACTGAAGTAACGAGCGCTAACAGATACATGGGCGAATTTCTGCTCACTGATAATTTCTTCAAGACCAAAAGTTGTTATATAAGACTGTGAGAGGATATGTGACAGTTTATAAAAGGCTGTTAAAAGTTCATCAGGATTTTCCGACCAGGTGCAGGACGGCGGGCCGGACAAGGACAGCTGTCTAGTTGTTTGGATGAGATGAAAAATCAAGGCCCTGTAAAGATCCCTTTGCAGCTGGAATTCAATATACATGTAAGAGTAGGCCATAGCGCCACTCCCTGGGCAAAAATTTCCCTCATAGCACACTAAATAGCGTATACCTGTCTTCATTAGCTCAGTATAGAGGAGCAGAACAGTAGGACGTTAAACCCCATTTCATTTCTGTTTATTACTGAGGGACGTTTTGACTAAGCTTCTATAGTCTGTATCTAGGAGAGAAATGGGGTTTAACATCCACTCGACACAAACCAGGTCATTTTGGGACTAACACATGGTTTAATCTTATTTCAATAATTTGCTTGCACTTAGGTCTTTATCAGTGGGAGGAAACCGGAGGTCCCGGAGAAAACTCACGAGGTTAGATAGGCGACCCTACTCTAACCATTCAGCCATCCAACCCCCCTGTATTTAGGAATGATGCCACTGCTTTATTATTGAGCAACGTTTCGACTAGGAATTTTCTTTAGCATGTTGACAAGTATTAAATACAGGTCACAATTACTGCTTATTACTGAGCCACGTTTCAACTAACCATCTCTAGTCATTAAATAGGCCTAAAGCAAATGATGTATTAAATAGGCTTAAAAAACAATGATGTATTAAATAGGCCTAAAACACACCCACCAGGCCATATCTCTCACCCTACCGGATGAATAAATTTATATAATTATTCTTGAAAACAATGAGATGTCCTTGATCGTGATCATGAAAGGTCATGATATTCTATATCTTATTTTGTCGTTAAATCTATTTTCTTCAGTTAATTTCCGGAATCTATTTTCATGATTTAATTTGCTTTAATTTCCGGAGTCTATTTTCATGATTTAATTTATACAATTTATAAAATAATCTATTAAATAATGGTTTTAATTATGATTCTTACAATGAAGGGCTATAATATTAATTTAAAGAGTTTTATGGTCGAATATGATAGTATTATTAAAGACAGGAGCCATTGACTCGTTAACCAGATGGAGAAGACAGTAGCTGCATTTACTGACACTCTAACCAGTTGGAAAAGACAGCAGCCACTGACTCATTAACCAGATGGAAAAGACAGGAGCTACTGACTCACTAACCAGATGGAGAAGACGGGGAGCCACTGATTTGTTAACCAGATGAAGAAGACATTGACTCGCTAACCAGAAGGGGAAGGTTTCGATCTCACTGTTATCTGAGAAAATTCCTCATGATTTTTCAGTGTTGTTTCCATGGTGCAGGATGAAGGCCCTTTAAAGCAAGAGCACCTAGTTTATTGGATGTTAAACCAATCTCTCTTTCTCCCATCCCCGCTCTCCCCCTCCTCTCCCCCCTACCTTCCACCCAAGAAAGAAATCTACATACCTCCTGCAGGACGTCTTCTCTTCAATCTACGTTTTTTAAGTAGCTTTGTTGGAGTGCTCTCCCCTGATTTAACAACTTTTTGTTGGGCAGGTACCGTGTTAAAATGTCCGTTGACGTGACGTTCGAGACCAGCGCGACTGGTAAAACGCATGTGACACTTGTCTACTATACATTTAAATGGTTTATCGCCACTATGACATACAATATGGCGTTCTAACCACGATATAGAACAGGAGGATTTATCGTAAACCTTACAGCCATTCCACAGACAGACGAACGTTTCACTGCTTGACTGGGTTTCCACATGTTTCTGTCCAATATGATCCATAAGGTCTGTTGACTTTAATGAAATATCACAATTCAGCCACTGACATGTTACCGTGGTTTCCTTCTGGGTTGTCGTCACTTCGGTCCCATTCTCCAGGACGCCTGACGTCGACGAGGCTGAATTTAAATTATTTGAGATCCCATAAGGCAGTGGTGTTCCTGACCGTGATGACGTCGGAGTCGAAGGCTTAGAGTTATTTCCTATCCACGACGGAACGAGAAATACTGAATCTGTGCCGTTTGTTGTAGTTTGTTTTGAGGTAAGGGGAGACAACTGGTGACATGATTGTTTGACGTTAATCCCTGCCGAGCTTAGTAAACATGGACCAGTGTCGCTAATTTCCGACCGACATGATTGTAAAATATCGGGCAAAGGTCCTTTCATCTTGTCAATCACCATGGCAACCACGGGGACGTCCTTCCCATTTACACACTTTTGTTTATCACTAGATGGCGACGTTGGTGTACATGAACGGGACTTGTCGGGGCTCAATTGATCACACTTGGACGATTGATCCAAACAAAAACTTGGCACTTTATTGTTATTGGCATTCTGATTGGATGAGATTCCATTTGTATTTGTCACGTGTTTTTCACTTATACATCTGAAAAATAAAAATAAGTATGATTAGTTCTTTATTATTGTTTTATCTTTTTATTTTTACCAGAAAACTTACCAGAGCCCCCAGTAATTTTGCTCTGTTTATTTTGGCTAGTGTAGGTTTACACATTACTTAAAATCTCTTCCCTAAAATAAAATATGATACTCCATTCCTGTATATCAGTACACATATATTGTAATCTGAGCATCATTTGATCTTGTTTATTCAGCACTAATTTCTTTCACATTCGTTCCATATCAAATCTTTGTTTAAAAATTCGTAAAAATCAATTAAAATCACCAAAAATCATCTAATTTGTACTTGTTGTGTCCAGTTTAAAGCTGACCATTTAATTTTGATAACGAGTGTCATTTACAAGCTTTTAATTTCTCGATCACTGTTAAAAAATAAACAACCCAATTGATTATTGATGTATAATGATTAATTTTTGAACAGTGATCGAGAAATTAAATGCCTGAAAATTGGACACCCATTATCCAATTTAAATGGTCAGCTTTTAACTAGACACAATACAAATTAGATGATTTTTTATAGGATGTTTATGAATTTTTAAACAAAGATTTGATATTGAATGAATGTAAAAGAAATTATAGCAAAATACATAAGATTAAATGATACCTGGTGTATGTCTGTCTTCATTAGCCTAGTCGGTGATGAACAAAAGGATGTTAAACCCCATTTCATTCGCTTCCACCAATAGTGACATAGACCCATCACCCAGTCAGGTATACCTTAAAAATCCCCTGCCTACTCCTGTATACATGTATGTAATGTGACCGACTGATTGGGGTTTAACGTCTGCTTTAACAAATAGTGATATATATAGCAGACGCAGGATATCTACTTCCTATGGTTTCTTTAGAATAAACAGAGCAGAAGTCTAAGTGGGGGGTCAGAAACAGTCCTTCTCATTTCCCCTTCAACCATAATAACAGAGTTATAACAATTGTTATGTTTGAATATTGATAGCTTGCTGACAGATGCACAATAGGTGTCAAGGCGTAAAAACTAATGTTTTGGTGTTAGCAAGGGTAGCGACAGCTGGTAGAGATATTAGCTATGTTAATATACTATGTGTGATTATACTATGGCGACAGTATCTACCAAATATAAACTCTCTCTCTCTAGTCAAACACACACACAGACAGATGGAACGTTTACTTTAACACTTATCACAAACCGAACACCATACCAAACGTAAATTGTCTGTCTACAAAAGATAAAAAGCTACTTAAAGGGGCATTATGGGAGATTAGATAAAGAGCGGGCAATTTTCACTAAATAGTTAAAAACTATATAATGTAAAGGGAATATGCTGAAAATTTCAGTCAAATTGCTCCACTTTGAACTAAGATACAAATGTATTAGCGATTGAATTTTAGGCCTAACCTGGTCTCGACTATCCATTTTGACGTTAAAATGTATTCAAATCCAGTAAACATTGCAGGCTGGTGATAGCATCGAGAGTTGATTATGGACTGGATAAGTTAATTAATGTCTAATTAATAATTTAGATAACATTTCAGGCCTTAGAGACTAAAAAGAATTAATAATCATGGTAAAAGATTTTTTCGTACAAACCATACCATGAAAACTTTTTATATGTTCCATCAGATGTGTTTAATAACATAAACACAGCAGACTTTGCATTAAAATAATGTTTATTACTTTTCCTCACTGGCTGCTGGTGAAATAATGTAATCAGAAATCAGCTGGAATTTAATCAAGGTATAAATTGGTTCAGGCAGTTTTATTCTATTATAATATACCTGTATTATCAACTGTCTAGAATTACGAGAGAGAGAGAGAGAGAGAGAGAGAGAGAGAGAGAGAGAGAGAGAGAGAGTTCAACACCCACTTGACACAACCTTGGTCATTTCGGGACTAACATATGGTTCAATTCAATTTCAATAATTCGCCGGATAAAAACACACAAGGTTGGACAGGCGATCCTACTCCTTGTCACATACTAACCAGGGAACTTAAACCAGGCCATCCAACCCCCCACAAGCCGGAAAAGTTACTTGATTTGGGGTTTTACCAATATGCGTTACCAAAGTTGCTGTCAGTGTATTCTTGTTACTCTAGCCATTACTACATACCAGTACATGTAACACATCATGATCATATAGATAATTATTAAAATCTGATATTCTTTAATCAGGTCAGAAAGATGAAATTCTTATAAACAAAAGAGAAATGGCATGTAATAAAGTTTGACACAGAAAACGAGGTATAAAACCCAATTTCATTTAGACCACTAAACAACAAAGTGAAAGCATGGTAAATTAATTAATCTTTCTGAAAAAATTTCTTCAGACTAATTCTTGATATCAAATGTAAGTCATAAAACCATTCAGAACACAGTAAAACTTGAACCCTTTGAACTTAGAGCATTTGACCTTGATAGCTTGACCTAAACATTCTAACCCGGTAACCCCTTTCAATAATATATTTATTGTGTTATATATGGATGCTCTCTATCTAGATATTAATAGTCTAAATTGTTTAGTAATTAAACATGAATTACACAGGATACAATTCTATGATATACTGTGCATTACAAGGCAATGTTTCCACTAGAAGCCTGGTCAAAATGTCACTCAGTGATATAAAGTATTTGTATTTCATAGCAATGGCAATCAATCAGTACCGGTAATACACATTCTTTTACTGTGTAATAAACAGTCTATCAATAAACAGTAACAAACATTCTTCTATTACTGAGTAATATACATTCTATTACTGGGTAATAGACAGTTTATCAACAAACAGTAACAAATATTCTATTACTGGGTAATAAACATTCTATAACTGGGACTGGGTAATAAACATTCTATTACTGGGTAATACACATTCTATTACTTGGTAATAAACAGTTTATTACTGGGTAATAAACATTCTATTACTGGGAAATAAACATTCTATTACTGGGTAATAAATATTCTATGACTGGGTAATAAACATTCTATTACTGGGTAATAAACAGTCATAAACATTCTATTAATAAACAGTAATAAACATTCTCCATTACTTGGTAATAAACCGTCATAACCATTCCATGACTGGGTAATAAATATTCTATGACTGCCAGATTGGGTAATAAACATTCTATTACTTAATAATAAACATTCTATGACTGGATAATAAACATTCTATTACTAGGTAATAAACATTCTATTACTAGGTAATAAACATTCTATTACTGGGTAATAAACAGTCATACATGTACATTCTATTACTGGGTAATAAACATCCTATTACTGGGTAATAAATAGTCCTAAACATTCTATTAATAAACATTTTATTACTGGGTAATAAACAGTACTTGTATTCTATAGAATTATATCTTGTGTATAAATATTCCGGACTAAAGTTTGTTAAATCAACATCCATATTTAGAATATGATCAACTCAGATCAAACAATAAAATCCGTCTATTTTTAGTAGTAAAACGTGTTGTCAAGGTTAATTGGTATTCTGATAATATTAAGTCTAGACTGAAGTGTGCATACTGTGGAATGAACTCGAATATTTAGAATATCAACTTTGATCTAATGATCAAAAAATATTCTATATGTTTTTATTTTTGTAGTAAAACTTATTGCCCAGAGTTAATATGACTGTACCGTGTGTCAGTGGTGCAGATCTCCGATAAGAATAACAGTCTAGACTCAAGTGTGTAGCCATTTTGTAGAATGAACTCAAATATGAACTTAGATCTACAATGTAATGATAAAAATATTCTTTAACAAAAAAAGGACATTTATTTTCATAGGACTGTACTGTGTCAGTGGTGCAGATCTCAAGGCCTGGCCAATACAACATTGTCAAGTCGTTCGGATGGAATAAAAAAAAACCCAAGAAGATTATTTCCCTCACGCTGCAACGTTTGCCAGTCTTCACTAGTACGATCGATCAGTGTAAAAACATGTAGGATATTATTTCCCACTGACCTAGTTTGTGTTGGATGGAAGTTAAAGATACATTATGTAAGATTTAGATAAAGAACTAGTCATTCTTGCTATAATAGTTCGAAAGTAGATGATGTAAAATGAAGAATTTGAAAATTTCATTCAAATTACTCTATTGCAAGCGAAGATATTAGCCTTTGAAGGTTTGACAGACGTGTGCAATAATTTCAACCAAATCAAAGTATCGCTGAACCATTCTAATCTATTTAATATCAGAGAAATCTGATGCCATCCAGAGTTGATTAAGGCCTAGATCAGTTAATTAATGTCTAATAAATACTTTAGAAAACATTTCAGGCCTAAAGAAAGACCTGCAATAGGCAGATTTAGCTCTTGCATAATGCATGTTTAAACAATTAATCTACCATACTTAAAACAGTACTGCTAACCTTGTAGGTTTTCTCCGAGTCCTCAGTTTTCCTTTCAATGCTTAAGATCTCTCTCACTAGTGGGGTTGGATGGCATAATGGTTTTGATTCCCCGGTTGTATGTGACAAGAAGTAGGGTCGCCTGTCCAACCTTGTGGGTTTTCTCTAGTTTCCTCCCACTGCTAACAATCCCTACACGCAAGCAAATTATTGAAATAAAATTGAATAATATGTTAGTCCCGAAATGACCTAGTTTGTGTTGAGTGGACATTAAACCCCATTTCTCTTGTTCTCTCTCCTCTCTCTCTAAACTACATGTACATGTAGCATTCTGCAGGGCAATAACACAAATGATATAGTGTCTTAAAGCTGTGATATGTACATATACTAGCCTGTATTGGAGTATATAATACACTATATATCGGCTTGTTATTCGACATACATGTACATGTACCAGAATTTACACTATTTACAGTATTAGACAGTCAAAATTAGGTCACTTCTATATAAAAGTCTCTAGAGCTATAAATAAACATTCTAGAGTCCAACAGAGGTCAGAGGTCAGTAAGTAACAGACCCACCAATTGACTTATTTATACAAACCAACACCAGACGGACAACAGTTCAATACTGCTAGTAA